TACCAACAGTATTACGTGTAGGATTTGTAGGACTCAGAGATATTGTGAGCAGTTAAGTTTTGAAATGTCATGGAGGACATTTTTTTGAAGGGAAGAAGAGTGTGAGGGTCGTGACCCATAATCCCCATGGAGTTGTAACTCCCATAAGCCCTTGCGGTATAAGTGTAATAAACAAGAAAGCACATGGTCGAAAGTGTTGACTGTGTTTGTGGATTAGTTCGCTGTTTCCCACTCGAGATGCTGTCGAGATCCTGCTATGAAGCTCTATTGGCAAGGGACTAACAGCACAAGCGGTTAAAGTGCTACGCAGACCGAGAGTGGGTATCTTTTTTCATGAGTCGCGTTCGACACAATGTCAGCCCTTTTTTCCTGTTAATTTCTCCTCTTCTTTTTGAAACCAAAGCATTAAAATAGCCTGTACTGTCGATGTTTCTTGTGCTAAAATAAACCGTTCAAGTTCGCATCAAAATACACCTTTGATTAATAACATTCCATGTGCATTGCCCTTCTATTTATGTTGTTGCCTCAGCACAAGCAGTTAAAGTGCTACGCGGACTGAGAGCAGGTATCTTTTGTCGTGAGATGAGTTCGACACGACTTCAGCCTTTTTTTCCCTGTTAATTTCTCCTCTTCTTTTTAAATCAAAACACTAAAATAGCCCGAATGTTAGATTGTCGCCCAATGATAACACTTTGGTTTTTGCCTCATTTACACTTAAGTAGTTACACTTAAACCATGATTGAAGCATATCATTCTGTGAAGTGAACTCTAGAGCATTTGGATTGTGGTTTGATAAGTATTGTGTTGTATCAACAGCATATAGCCTCAAATTAGCATCAACAACAAAGTAAGTGAGATCATTAATAAATAAATTAAATAGAGGTGGTCCCAAGACTGACCCCTGAGGAACTCCATGCTTGATTGTTTTCCAGTCTGAGTACGAATTTCTGATCTTAACACGTTGCTTTCTTCCATACAAATATGAGCAAGTGAGACACAAGGCACTGTCAGAAAAACTATATGCACTCAACTTTGAGAGTAGAAAGCTGTGGGGCACGGAGTTGAACGCTTTTGATAAATCCACTGCAATTGCAGCACAATGTTCTTTGTTANATTAGCATCAACAACAAAGTAAGTGAGATCATTAATAAGTAAATTAAATAGAGGTGGTCCTAAGACTGACCCCTGAGGAACTCCATGCTTGATTGTTTTCCAGTCTGAGTACGAATTTCCGATCTTAACATGTTGCTTTCTTCCACACAAATATGAGCAAGTGAGACACAAGGCACTGTCAGAAAAACTATAGCCACTCAACTTTGAGACTAGAAGGCTGTGGGGCACGGAGTTGAACGCTTTTGATAAATCCACTGCAATTGCAACACAATGTTCTTTGTTAGGGACCATTCATTTTTTAAGGGATAGGGAGCTGTGGGATTTGGGGGAGTGTCAGTGGGAAATTGAATGACCCCCCAACTTGCCAATTTTTTCACATGACCCCCCCTCAAAAGGAATTTTTTCGGGATGAACCCCTCCCCCCACCTGGCCACCTCGAAAAAAAGTTACATCTGGTGTTTTATAGATTAATACGTTCAAATGCCACTACACATATCTTGATGTCATATTAACTGTTACATTTCACTTGACAAGTGAATATTTACAAATCTATAAAGAAAGCTGTTTTGCACACATCTCATCTAAATTTCTCAAAAGAATGAAAAGTCAATTTCAGATCTCCTAGTTATTGCTTGTCCTGAGCGTGTTGTAACTGGCCACTCGTCTGCATCTTCCTCATCTTAAGAAAACTGCTGGAAATCAAAGAACACAAAACGCAAACGGGTAGAAAACAGCATTTGTCACGTGTATCACATCTGCATTGCAAATCCCCTTGACAAAGAGCTTCCAAATTGTCCTCTTTATCCCCCTTCCCTGACAATCCCTGAAGCGTGCATAAATGTTTAAGCTGTGGCAACAATGCTGTTTAGACGGGATGCAAAATTAATCGCTTACCTACTCCAAGCAAACTATTTTAGCAATGCGGCAGGAAGCAGGATGCTTACCAATCTCGAGCCGGAAGTTAGGAACAGGGTGTACTGCATCCTGCATCCTGAAGATTATCACACGGATGATACGAGTAAAGAGGAAGATGATAATGAAGAGGAGGACGACAATGATGAAGAGGAAGAGGAGAATGTCGAGGAGGAAGAAGAGAATGTAGAGGAGGAAAGAAGGAGACACCTTATTTCAGTGAACTGTACTCCACTGATTTCTTCACTGCATTAAATGTGCTACGGGCAATGTTTTTAAGAGTTTTATTCAAACTATATTAAGGCATTACAAAGTGCCGTATAGCACGAAATGTTTGTGGTAGTTTTGTTTTGCAACTAAAAGTAAGAAAACGATCTCAGCAGTTTAATAGTCGCTAGAACAACATTTCACCATCAAAAACTTGTCGCTGTTGAAGTGCTGTTATTTGTAGTTGGTTTTGATTGATATAAACGTTGCTAAGAATTTTTCTTCTTACTTTGAAACTGTTTCAGAATATTAAAGATGTTTATNCCCTTGCCTTTTCCTCCATTCTCTTCTTCCTTTTAAACTCCATCACTTCAAGATGGTGAAGATGATCGACAACAAACTTTGCCTTGACAATGAACTTGTCCGCAAATGCAGCAACGTTCTCAGGGTCAGTTAAAACCACTGTACCACTGGCATGCTGTTTCTTTAACTGCACTCTTGGTTGCCAATCATCTACCTCACGCCCTTCATTTGAAGTCTGCTGGTAAGGAAGGTAGTGGTACTCCGGAAGGCAAGAATGGTCAGGATATGGTTTAGGACATCTTCCCATGGGTGGTCCAGCCCATTCAGAACAAAAAGAACAAACTCGACCTACCTCTCCTTGACATGAAAACTTCAGAAACTCCCTGTAGTTCTCACCCTCTTCATAATGTTCACTCATGAACCGCTCTATCTTGTGGAAGTAACTATGGCCTGGAACACAGTCTTTCCTCGTTCCTGCATTGTGGTACTGTACCAAGTAAGATGTGTTTTGAAAGAACTGGAAATCTATGGATATCAAAGAACAGAGCCATTTTACCATAGCAAATTTAATACAGTTTAAAAGTTAAACATAGACTTACTATTAAAGTATATTCAATCTACACATCTATCGATATTCTGGTAATGTTTTCATTATAATACCATGCAGTACATTTAATAAGCACACATCATATTAAACAAACAGTTTTGAATGTTTCAAATGTTGCAAATTAATTATTACAAAACATATTATTAAAATCAAATAACTTTAGCATCTGTGGCATGTCCAAATGATTTCAATTTTCAATATGCACATTTTGTTTGCTTGGTTACCTGGTCTGGGTGTCACATGGGCTGACATGTATCCATGTGGCCCTGGTGCTTCATCAATGCGATCACACACTTCTTGACAGCAGTGCCAAACATTCTGTTCGACAGCCTGTTCCTCACGGCTATGTAACTCTTCAGTTGAAATCTACAGGTGTTTACAGAGAATTACATGTACATGTACCATCAGTTAAAAATTTATTTAAAAATCTATTTAAAAACTCATACTTTTTCATATTATAAAATTTCAATATTTCAGTGGCCTCAAAGAAGCAATATTCATTTATAGTTAAAGAATTCACAACTGAAAAGTACCTTTTCAAGATCATCCTGATTGACTCCTTCAAATGGATCAAAATGTTTAAAGGGAAGGGACCCACCATCTGCAAGAGCATCACCTGTCAATGTTAAAAGAATTTAAAGACATTAAAGTAAGTTGGGTGATGATAAAATGGATGAGTACAATTTATACAGCAATTCTTACTGTTGACAATATAACTACCAATAACATGGAAACAATAAAATTGAGACATATTTTTCTTTATGAAGGGAAATAAATGTATCCACCAATAGTTGTAAATGTCTTGTAAGGCACTGCAATAGTCACAGCACATTTTTAAGTCATACACTGTACACTGTACTAAGTTGTAATTTGAAAAAAGAAAAATATATTTACTACTCTGTTCACACCTATAAATAATGGTCATTTAATGCATGTACCTATGCAAGCATTGGTCCTCTCAGCTGGGCAGGGATCATTGACAGCATAGTGAACTCTCATCTGCCAGTCCACATCATAAAGTCTAGCTATTTCAGCATCTCTAAATTTTACTTCATAGTTAGTGACTGACACTCCAGGACCTTTATCAGTGTGCAGCAAAACACGTGGGCAGACACTAACTGGCAATCCTCTTGTTTTCATCTCATGGATTAACCACTTGCACTTTTCAATGGCATGTTTATACTTCTGCCATAATGCTTCTTTGGTAGTTGTCAAACTCAACAAACTTGATTTAAGTATTTCAAATTCTGACTTTAAAGCATCAATACAATCGGCAATTTCATTCCCAGTGGCAATTTGCTCTGGATTTAATTTACTTTTGAACTGATTCCAGTTTACAGTTGCTGTAACGATTCCTGATACTGCATGTTCTACTCGCGATTGTTCATAAGCACGGAACTGGCAATCATTGTGTTGTGTTACACAGCTCACATCTCCTTTTTCAGTGCTGTCACTGAAATAGACCAGATGATCCCGCACCATCGCTGTGAATTTACGCAGTAAAGGATCAAATGGTGAGCCCTCAATTTCATACAAATGTNGTCATATGCTTCTTGAAAATGCAAGATTCCTTTAAATTTTCCGGAACTTGAATCGTCAACTGCTGTAAGCTCATCAAGCACATGGATCAGTCCGACCACTTTTCGATCCTTTCGAACAAGTGAATTTTTTTTATCCCCTGCAATACCAGCAAGGCGGTTGGCGACCTCGAAAACATCGAGTGGTTGCAAAGAGATCCTTACATTTTCTCTAATTTGACTGCACTTTCGAATCTCCGATCGTCTGTGTGTCCATGATCTCCCTTTTTCAACTTGGAAATCATCGGAACCCTCGTGTTTATCCACCATTTTGGATTTCCAACAGGGATAGGTACTTCATGTATGGGGACACAAAATGTCCTGCACCTATTCTGCTGGACAATGGGAACGCAGCCTTGGGGACAGGAACAATAGATGGAACAATAGACAAAGAGATCTGTTTGTTTCTTTTATATTTAAAAATAGAAATATACCATGACACTTCCGGTTTGACCTTTTCGGAACTTTTGTGGCAGTCTGAACTCGCTTGGTAAAAAGGTAACCTCGGCCTCGGACAGGACACTGAAAGATCAAAGTATCACGAGAATGGATTGGAGGTATTTCATTTTGTTTGAATTTGATATTCTATTGTTTTGTACTTTAATATCCGTAGCTAATAAGGAATTTTCGATTCACAGAATCTGTGATCAGTGTGAAAAGGAGCAGTCCACCTTTTACTGCGGCGAGTGCCAGCTGAAGTATTGTGAATCCTGCAATGGGGTGTTCCACTCGAAGGTAATTCTGTTTTTGTCGTTGTTGGTTTACAGCCTATACGTTGCAGACACGTTTGATCAATGATAGCCGTCTCCTGAATACGTTTTAGCCTGGCATTTCTTTCATGTAGAACATTTTTCCGCCAGTCAGTATCGTGTCACTTCACCAATTTGTTGTTTTCTTCTGAATATTCACAGGGAGCATTGAAGGAGCATAAAGTTCAAGCACTCCAGTCGTGCACGTGCCAGTCTTGTAGTAACGCAATCTCCATTCTACTCTGTGACAGCTGTGACATGAGTAAGTACTCATCCTCACCACCTGGGGGCACTGCCAGACGGTTTACGTTAGTTGGCCCGGAATCCAAGGTCTTGCAGAAGTGTGCAATAAGAAATGCCGGAGAAGCTAAAAAATACTTTCATGATTCATTTGTTCATCAAAGACTTTTTATATATATCTTGCAAAAGCATTTGTCTGCTTTGATGTGTTCGTCGCACCCTGTTTATCACGGGTGTTATAAACTACGAGTATAAAAATGCTCACCACAAAAACGGATGTCTAAAAAGTTTTTGTTTTCTTTTTAGAATTCTGTGACCCTTGCTGGAGCAAATGGCATTCCAAAGGAACTTTCCAAAGCCATATAAATAAACCAATTCTTACTACAGCAAGCAACCATTGAAGCTGTACAAGACGGTACTGTAAGTTACATGTTACCTTATTGTTTATATATTCACGTGCTATGTGATTCCTACACTGATGTGCATGCCGCATGCATTTCATCAGAAGCTTTCATATATTTTCCTACTACTAAATGTCTTTTAATATGGTATAATCCTAAAACACCACACCACGAGAGTCTCATGAGTTTTTGACACTATAAACGTTAATTACAACTGTTACCGTATTTTAAATGGCATCATAATTTGAATGCCTATTTTTCTTGCAGGTAATAAGCTCTTCATCCTCTGATGATACAGCCATCCCAAAGAGTCTTCAGAAAACAAGTCTCGGTTTCATTGCAAATCCAAAAGGCAAAAGATCACTGTATTACATGTCCATCATGAAGGAAGCTCTCTCAAAGATGCGAAAGGCTGGTGAAAGCGATGAATCCTTAAAAAAGCGATTTACTGCTGAACGATCAAGGCAATTCGATTTTTTGATGTCAGAAGAGG